GGGGGGGGGGTGGGGGGAGGGGGGGTAAGTAGGTATTTTGGACACATTCAAATAAAAGAATGTCTTGCAAAACACCTGTTAAGTGCAAAGGAATGCAGCCCAAACACCACAGCATATACTGCTTTTTTCTTTTTTCTTAAACAAAATCAACTTTGAAGAATTCTAATCTGATGTTGAAAGACTAATACACCAAAAAATGTTTCAAAATACCCTCATATCCTCTAAAAAGGACTGTAGCCTAATGACAGTGTAAGGAGAGTACTTGCAGTTTTGCCTGGTAGGAAAACAAATTTAATGCACATATACAGCACAAATAAGACAGCAAAATATTTATTTACAGCATATATATGTACTCATGCTTTTCACTTTTTATTAATAGATTTTCCCCCTTTTAAAGCTATCCAGATTAAAAATGTCCAAGTCTGTCAAGAGAAGAAAACATTCTCAAAATAAATAAGAAACAATAAAGGAAGTCAGCTATAGTACACTATCTGCTTCCACAGCCCTCTTGTAAAATATGTTCCAGTTAATAGAGAGTACATTTACAATAATACGTTGACACTATTCACTCTTGTCCGCTTACATACTAAACAAATACCATCTTAGCATGAAGAAAGACGTGTTTTCAAAAAAGGAAGAGCCATTTGTCGCAGTGTCATCTGAATTTACACAGGAAAAAGCCACCTCCTCAGCTGAATTAAATCCCTAGAACACTTTTGCTTTTTAAGAAAACCAGTCATCTACTGTCTTCCAAACAAATATGGCAACAAGCACTCCAGTTCTAGAGGTCCATACTGTATTTTGGTTTGTGGACATGACTATACATAACTACCTCTGTGTATAGCTTCACCAACAAAACGTCGTAGACTGTGAACTGCTATGTGACTCTGTCCTCCAGAATCACCAGCCACTACACAGATTTTAGAGAAGCTCACCCAAATGACCATAGTTTTTCTTCACCGTTCAGAAATTTTGTTCCTAAAGTACCTGGTCTGAAATCAGTAAGGTGAAGACACCTGAAGATTCCCAGGATCAACACTTGGCCAAAACATCGCTGGAGGTCAGCAACAGACGTGAGCTTGCAAAGGAGAAAAGCTTCCATAGGATTTCGTCTTCCCTGCAGGGTGTTCATATGGAAAGTTCTTGCACAAAACCAGCAGGTCCACATTTTCCAAAACAGACTGAAAAATCACTTTAGTTTCAAACTGGAAGCTTAAAGACCTATTTTGGTTAGGTTGTAGAGCACTTTAAATATGCTAAGAGCTACCTAAGCACCAAGTATTGGAAAACTACTAATATCGACCAAGAACAGCTGCTAGAAGCCAGCTTTTCCAAGCTAAGCATGGGACTATGTAGGCATGGCCTTGCATTTAGAAATACCAGATGTATCCACAAGTACACGGCCAGCCTCGCACGGTGATGCAACTGGTGTACACTAATACCTTCTGTACCCAATTCAGAGACTTGCATAGACTGCATACCTTGAAAACAGGATTCCAGCCAAAAGGACTAGCAAATGGATTCTAAATAACTCAGAATATTTGTTATTTTATTGAATATGCCTGCTTTCAGCTGGCATCTATATCATCCTGAATTTCAGCAAGCATTAAATTGAGTAACGTATTTTTAGCATTTGGCTTCTTACTGAGAGTTCAAAATGTATTTTCAAATTTAAGGCAGTTATTTAATTTTTTGTTTGTTTTTAAAACAAACAAAAAAAATTAATAGTTCCAGGTTTTCTCTACGCTCAACAGAAAGGGACAATTTTCCTGGTACCTTCAAACTTTGGAACAGAATTAACACACTTATGTTTTCCAGTAGGAAATTTATCCAAAGTAAAGTGGCAAGGCTTGATTCTCCTTTCATACAGATGCAAGCAATTCCTAAGCAATTCCTAAAGCAAAATCTATAGAAAGAATGAAAAAGTCCTGAAAAACTGAATCTCTCCACAGGGTTTGTAAATTTTGGGTTTCATCCATGGAACTCAACTTGAAATGTTCTGAGCACGCCAGGACGCCATGTCCAGAAACACACATTAGCTTATGCTTAATGTAAAATCCAATAAGCTGAAGCCTACTGTACCCTAATGAAGCTAAACACCCAGCAAATCACAGGCTAAAGCTGTAGGAGAAGGATTCAGTCTTCTGTTGCTATAATTCTACAGAAACCAAGTCTCCCGCTATTCCCCAAGTGGTTCAATCATCAGTAAATTTAAATTAATTTGAAAACAAGAAACCCACTTCCCTAGGAACTCCACAGTGTTTTACTATTTCTTTGTGATTGACAGCAGGTGACTGGCATAGAGCTTAAGTCTTATTTAATAAAAATTGTTGATAAAAAGCAGCCTATTTAATTTTTTGTTTTGTATTTTAAGAGTGATTTCTCTATATATGTAGTAGTTTAGCACTCAAGAGTGGCATTTGCTCCTTAAGCTAAAAAGCTGTCAGTTGTTGGACAATAACACGTCAAACTTTACAAGTAATTCAGAATCAACTTTTAACCAGGCTTAGAAAGGCATTTCAAATACAACACACTGGTATTATTTTGGTTCAGAAACTGAATAAGAGAAAAGAACTGAATGATCAGAAATTAAAACTATTTTGAAATTGTAAAATTTTAAAAAGTGTTACTAATTCCTTTGAGGATGGGTATTATCACACAAAGTAAAGACTCACCCTAGAAAGACACAGTGGAGGAGAAGAACACAGGAATGTCAAATCTCTTCTGGATTTTTTACACGGTTAGCAGAAATCAGTTTTGTTTGGCAGGGATCTATAACATCTTGGACATTTCATTTTCCCCAATCACTGTAAAACTGTTCTTTAACCAAGTAGGAAATAGTTCAAAACACAATTCAAGTTGACCTATAGATGTGCATGAGATATTCTGGCCAAATTTTAAAACAAAACAAAAAGCCTATCCCACTTAAAAAAAAAAAAAAAAAATCTATAGAAGTGTCTCCTTTTACCATCTAGGACACCAGAAGTTGCTCCAGACAAGCTGTTTAAATCCCCATGCCCAAATGAATTGCTATTAGCTCTTGGGCTCAAAGGACTTTGCAAGTCAGGACATGTGAAGAGTTGTGTTGCTAATATTCAAATAGTCTGAACCAAATAACCCTCTAGGATAGGACCTTGATGAATTACTGAACTTTTTCATTTCAACAATGAATCTAACCATGTGCGTAAGTAAGGCACACAGGTTTTACAAACAAGCAAGATATAGTAAGACATTGCCTAATAAAAACTGATACTAATAACAAAAGAAATCTCTGGCCAAGGTTGAAGGTTTGGTTTTTGAACCACCAAACCTGATGCTTGGAGGTTTTGGCATCTATTGCATTTTTTTTTGTTTGTTTTTAAACTAGTTTTGTAATATGGCAGTAACACTATTCTTACCAAGATTTGCCATAAAAATAAAACAACCCAGCCTGTATGAGATGCAACCACACTAAATCAGTATGGTTATAAAACAGCATTACAGCTCTAACGTTCAGTGCTATAAAAAGACCATGCTCTTATGAAGCCCAGGCAGCCAGCCTCTTCATTTCGTCTTCATCCTCTGCTCTCTTCCTGGTCGATGCTGCAGAGAAAGAGAGATTAACAACAGCCATCAACTAATGTACCAGTCAGAACCATTTTATTTGTTAGCAGGAGGACTTGCATAGTGCTTTTCAGTCTGAAGATTTGAGATCAATCTACTGAGTAGCTAGCTAAACATAGGTAATGCAGTAATTAAGCTGATGAGAGATGTGACTATTGTGCCCCACCATTACCTCACATATAACCCTGAGGTTAACAATATAGGTCTGATGTAAATCCTACTGAAAGACTACCACAGAAAATACATTTAACCTCTAAAAGCTGTCACAGAGAGCAAGCGTGCACCAGAATGCTGCAAGTTCTCTCACTGCCACTTGAGCAGGCACAAGTGACCTACCCCGGCCAGCTATGCATCCTGCTACCTTTCCAAATAGCTCTGACGGGTTCTGCATGTGCAGGTCCAGTCTCCAAATAGACTCACCCCATTTTAATGAGAGGTGTCATTTATTAAAAGGGAGAAAGAAATTCCTGAACTTATCTTTCCTCATATGACATCAGTTAACTGCTGTGGTCACAGCAACAGCCATTCCCAGCACTGTACCAGGTCCGAAACACACCTTCTCTCTCTTTTTTTTTTTTTACCCAATCACACATCTTTCACATTCTCTGAGCTAAAACCTCACCCAAATAGTCTTCATTCACTGACCTACAAACTGCATGCCCTATAGCCCAGGTTCAACCTCAGGCTGTCTCCAGCCATAGGCTCTACGTGTCAGGACTTGCATTCCTTCAAACATCCGTGGAACACTGTTAGTGGGTGCAATACCCTTGTGTGCACATTTACAGTTAACTGTAAGTTGGTTCCCGCCTGTGGTAGCCGTACTGCTGGGAGCCACCACCTTGAGAGGGGCTGCAGCTACCACCTTTGGGGACTAAAGCTGGGAGAAGGACATGGGAGACCAGGGGTCCAGTCCCTACTCTAGAGGCAAGTGCCACTGGCTCATTGTGCGACTGGGGAAGGTCACTATGCTTTGCTCCACCTCAGTTTCCTCATCTCCAAAATTAGGAGGGTAACATGTATCTCCAATTAGAAGCATTATAGAACCAGTAACTGTTGTTCTTATTTTGCCATTGCTGTGTAATCATAAGCATGGAGTTTTGTAAAAGATAAGCCAGTTTTGCAGGCCTTAAACTGTATAAATGTAACCAGCTGCTTTTTCCTGAAGCAGCCACACAGACAGATGAAGTAGCAAGTTAAGATGGTGAGAAGCACATGGAGATGGCCTGGGTTTAATACAAATGTCAACTGGCACAGCTGGATGTGGAAGAGGAGTTATGAACAAGCCATAAATGCAGACTGAAGTTTGCACAGGGTTTTCCCAAATCCATTTTTTTACAGCTGTTCTGCAATTGACTTAAGTAGATGAGGCCACAATCCCAGTTTCAACATTTTAAACTGCTTCTCAGGGTTTTAAGTGCCATCTGCCAAAACACACATAAGACTCTGAGCTGAGCTGGTTCTGGGTAACCCGTTCTGCAGCAGAATGCGCCATGAACAACCTGTGCCACATATGTGCTGCCCTTGCCACCAAATATTTATACTCTTTTACTAGCATTGGTACACAGCAAGTCTTTCATCTGATAGAGGACAACAGGGACACAGTAAAAGGTATAGTTCAGAGTTGACTAACTCTGGCTTAATTCAAAATTAACAGGGTAGAACTCCAGAAAAATAAAACTACTGCTTAATGCCAGGAATAAGCCTGTTCTGTAGAAAGAAAGCAAACGAATGACAATATTTCTTTAAAACTTGTATTTCCTGCTGCCTCCTTCATTTCTAATTAAAATACCAGTGGCAAATATCAAACCACTACCCTACAAAGCTGGATCTTTGTGACGCAAACATTTTGAATCTAGGTCAGACTCTAATTTAAAAAGACTAAGGATTTAATTGCCAAAAAGAGAAAAAAAAGGTCTTCCCATTCCTCAGTGATCTCACTACATTTCAGTAGGAGATGCATTAGATGTACAAGGTCAAATTCCCTGAGTCTGCCTCCCCAAATCTATTTGGAATTTGATCCTAAATGCTTTCATACAGCCAACCAGAATTCCACTCTTCTTTTTCTGATAAACAGATACTAAAATAGGAAAAGGAACCTACAATACTTTAAAAGTTAAAAAACAGTTAAATACATATCTGGAGCTCTCTCTTCCTCTCCTCCAACTCACAGCATGCCTTAATCATGAGAAACATAAAATGGCAAGCAGTTTACCAGGGCGAGAAGGCAGCGATGTGGACGGAACACTTGGCAGTCTGACATCTCTCATTCCCTTGTTCAATTCTTCTTGCTCCAGTTCTTCTAATTCTGCCATCAACTCATCCTAAATTCAAGGAAAACATCATTTACAAATTCATTGTCCTGACAGTGACCTCAGGCAAGGGCACATTTAACAACCATGAAACAAAGCACTACTGAAAAAAAAGATGAGACCTGAAAACAAATATCAAACCCCAGCATATTCCAAGTATAATTTTAATAATGGTGGGCAATAACAATAAACCTTAATTGAAAGTCGAAAGAAGGACAATGGAAGTTAGAAACAGGAAAAGGAAAAAAAGTTAGAAAGAAAACAGTGTAGTACTCATCAAAAAGGCAAACGGGCAGGAGGGGGGGGAAGGTCCCTCTGCCTTCCTCAGGTTTGTTCCAGGTCTAGACCTGTACTCTTTAATGCATTTTAATTTTGATGTGCACTTTGTCCCATTTTAAAAAGCAAACACCTCCACTGGTTATAAGGTAGACTGTCATTAAACATTATGCTTCAGCCCTATCGCACAAGTCCAAGATTATATATGATTTCAAAGCAGCACTGGAATCAGAGCTGTCCTCCTGGGTCCTGTTATTCACTCTTGAAGCAGGTAACACTCTTGGGCTTTTAGCTGCAGAAGCTGATTTGGACCAATGATCTAACCCACTTGTATAATACTAAAAATAATGAGGTTACAACACTTTTTTTAAAAAGCCAAAGACTTATCCCTTGGCTGGAGTTTCCCAAAGAAAGGAAGCTAAATATTATGTATTTGCAGAGAAATGGACCTTTGCCACGTTGATAAAATGGTTTGAAAAGAAACAATAGGCAAAAGCGGGTGGGGAAAAAGTGGCTGTAGCAAAGCGATATCTACTAGGTATTGAAATGGGCTTTGCCTACCCATTTATACCTTGCTTATCACCCATGTGGAAATTAAAATGATAATTACATAGTCACCACAGGCCTTCCATCTCTCAAAGAAATGTGTGACCTGGAGCCCCATGTCTAACTTAGGTATTTAGCTGAGGTGTAAATGTGTCTGTATGTTAAGTCCCTCAGGTAGTGGTGTGAATACAAGCTTCTCAACAAAGTATCAAAGTTGTTATAAAGTCAATGGAAACAGGTATTTCTGAAGATGTCTAGATGGTCATCTAACACTCTCCCACACCAAATTAGTCCTTACCAACCTCTGCTGAACGAGTAAACAATTGAAAGGTGTGTCAGCCACAACAGGCTCTTAAAAAACAAAACAAAACAAACAACAACAAAAAAAACAGGTGAAGGAAACAGTGATCATGACCCCTACACTTTTAATGTAATAAGGTGATGGCTAGAACATTTGCTCTCGAAGTGGGAGACCCAAGTTTTAAGTTCCTCTAATCCTCAGACATGGATTTAACTTATGTTTGCCACAACTCAGGCATCGCTCTACAACTAGGCTGTGGAATATTGCAACAGCAATAACAAATCCCCTTTCTCTTCTTGAACCTAGGCCAAAAAGAGAGCAGAGAGAAGACACCACATGAACTCTCAGGTTCCAGACTTTGTCCACCGGAATGTGCATATTTTGCATTTGATTATCAGCAACAGGCCTCTAGGCAAGTGTCACACCTCCCAGTGAGCATCCTACTCAGGTAGGATAGAGCTTTTTTGCATTCTTCATGACATATGCTGTGTCAACCCAGGGAGAAAGAAGATTTATGTTTTTGCGTCTATCTGGAGCAGTAGAAATTACATGCTTCCATGATCTCCTTATACCCATGCCACACATGTAGAGAAAAAATCCAAGTGTGTGGTCAAAATGTCCTTAAAAAAAAAATTTAATATCACCCTCCCACATAAATCACCTCATAACTCAGCAACTAAGTAACTGATTCTAGTGCTCTTAAGCTGAAGTGGCCTGCAAACAGGTTTCCCAATTACTGGACAAGTGCTGTAAGTATCAGGTTCCTATGCAAAGGCAGGTGCTGGTACAATGATGCTCCATGTGACAGTGGCTTATTTTCCCAGAACAGAAAATATGCTCATCAATTTCGACTAGCATCTCTAAGGAACTTTGAGGTCAATCTACAACATGCTTACAAAGCCTGGACTCCTAAAAGTTAGGCATTGATGAAAAGTAAGCAACACTATATAGCTGTTTGGGATGGCAGTGTTTTTCAGCTATTTGAAGCCCAGTTTATACAAGCCAAATCCCGTTCCTTGTGCCAGCATTGATTAAATGTTTCTTGAAAGACTATTTACATTCAAAATGGAAAAATAGGAAAGCAGACAATAGGAACAAAATACAAAGAATCATTACTATTTTCAACAAATTATAACCGTTGAATAAAACTTCCCCTCTCCCTCCAGTCAAGAAAATATGATATAGCATATGTATTTTTCTTTGTTGTCCGTTTGGGCACATAGAAACAAATTAGTTGGGGAAAGAGGGAATTGTTTGGTTCTTTAGGACATTCTTAAAACGATCCTTAGTGCTTGGTCATTTTAAAACACAGATAAAAACCAAGAGCAAACTGGTTGTGATATTGAGCCTGATCCCTAGCTCTACATTCCACAGACTGCAGGAATTGTGCATATACATGACCATTGAGTCCTCAGCCATGGTTGGATCAGAAGTAAGTAAAGTCCTGCTTAAATATTGTCCAAAAATCAAGAGTCCGGGGACACTAGATGAAAGCTACTGCAACAAATTTTCAGAAGGTCCTAAGTACCTTGTGGGGCTTTCAGGAGAAAAGTGCTCAAGGAAGAAACCTTACTGCCTCCAAGAGGAATTACTTCTATGTAATGTATCTATGTCTCTAGAAAACCTGGAAAACAAGGAAAGGACCTGCATCTCCAAGCACCAAAAAAGACCTTAAAAAACTGGTCCAAGTATTCAAAATTGTAAACAGCAGTCTATTTATGGGATAGGAATATGCACTTAGTCAAACAGATGCCTATTTGGAGCACAAAAAATTATATGTTTCAAGCATCCACTTGGAGCAGTACAAATTACCTATTTTAGTGACCTCCTCCTTGCACGGTACAAATGAGAGCAACAACTACAGAAGTGCAGTTCTAATCACCTTTTTAAACTTTATATATAAATAAAAATATTTTTTATTTTACAGATATAAAAATGTTATTTATTAGATTATGTATATTAATATTTTTATTTATATATTAAAAATACAAAAATGTCCTAGATAGCGTAAGCTAGAATCAAGGAATTCCACATCCACACCTTTTGAGAAACAAACCACTGCAACAAGCCACCACACAACTAAATAACTGTGGAGTCATTTAACTGCTAAAACTCACAGGCTTTACTGAAGTACTAACCTCATCAAACTCATCACCAAAGCCAGCTCGGTTTGAGATAGCATCTGAAATTTCCTGGGCAACATCTTGCTGTTCAGTGATATCTTGCATCAAATCATCGATTTTGTTCAAGTCCCTGGCAAGATAATATGGAAACATTTTTTAAAGACGTATCATTCAAATCCTATGGAAGAGACTTAGAAAAACTTGAACAGACTATTTTCTTTTTATGCCCACGGCTGTATAAAGAGCAGAACTCACAGGGAATAATTCCCCTCATCTACACCTTAATGTTTCTTGGCAAGCTTCTGTGTGTTTTAGCCAGTCCAGTTCCTTCTACTTTGGGATTATAACAAAAGTCAAACTGTAGCAGCCTGTGTCTCCCCCTCTGGGCTTCTCATACCTCTGCCAGCCAACAGCCACATTCCCCTGGCGGATCCCATGTCCTTCCCGAGGTCGGCATCTTTATAGATGGATCTTTTTTCATGTTAAGCTTTCACCAGAGCTGGGGGGAACTTACCAGGACTACACCCCATTTAAAAGCTTCCCCTTATTGTTAACTTCATTATTGTTTCAGTTCCTGTTTACTTCTCCCAAAACAACCTTTCTGATTTAACTCTGTTTATTCAGGCAGGAAAACACCTCATGAAACAATATAGGACACACAAAAATACTACACACACACAAAAAAAAATTACCCTCTCTTTTATTCAGGTCTAATTAATACTTTGAATCACACAATCCAGCTTATGGACTTTGAGGAAAAGAGTCAGCTTAGTTTCTTCAACTACGTTTTCTTCTGGAAAAACTGAGGGCAGAGGCCAGACTCTACTGCCAAGACAGACTTAAAAAAACAGGTACCACACAGGTCTCTCTAGTTAGTTAGACATTCTTCTAGACTTGCTGTTAAGAAAAGATATTTTTCTGCCAAATATAACTCTACAGCACCAATAGCATGCCTGAAGCAAAAATTAGGTCAAAACTCACTGACTTGATACAATAGGCTGCAGCGATGAAATAGTCTGAAAGTGGTTAGCAAGCTAAACTTGAAAGCTATTAGAAAGCACTTACATATTTTCATGCACTTTTTTCATAGCTTGTGCAGCATAACCCATATTCTTGAGCACTTCTGTGTTGGTGTGGGAATTTTCCAATGCCTCTCTCTGGAACTCGATGGTTGAAAGCGTCCCATCAATTTGACTTAACTGTTTCTCATATCTCTTTTTTCTCTTCAGTGCTTGTAAGGCAGCTGGAATGGGAAGAGGCAAAGTGCATAGTGTATTTTCATAGCAAAATGCAAGGACAAGTAGTTCAGCACCAAGCCGACCTGCAGAATTTATAATTCTCACCCTCCTACCTTACTAGTAGGGAGACAAACTTTGCCCACACCAGATCAGCAGCCTGTTTATCACCAACATGCTGTTGCATGAACATGCTGGGAAGCCTCTTTTAGATTAACTCCTTTTAGCACCACAGGGAAGAGCAGCTTCTTCCTCCACTGCGGGAGATCTTGAACTCCATCCTGTGCACGCAGGCAAAGCAGGGAAGATGGGGAGGAAAAAGAAAAATATCAGAGAGAAGTCAGAAAAGAGGAAACAGGGAAAAGAAGAAAAGAAGTGGTTGCAAAATATAAGTAAAAACTAAGGAAGACAGACTAAGAAGATCTGTCATGATAACCACACCTCCACCGATGCTGCCTTCTAAACTTTGTCTCAGCAGCAGAAACTGTCAAGTGCAATGGAAAGCCCAAATGGCCTAACCAAGCAGGTGGGTTAGACCAGAGGAGGACTCACATTTCTCTGGCTTTCAGCTGCATTTGTTTCTTACAATCACTTAGGACCATGATCTTTAAACCTTAAAACTTGAAAACATATGAAACTTTGTAGACACAGCCACAGTGAAATCCAGCTACTCCCCATTATTGTTGTAAATCATTGAGCTTAGTCTTTTATATTTGCTAAGTGATGAGCACCTTACTTTGCCCAGAGTAAATCATTACCAGAATAAATGCAAATGACAATCAGGATGAGAAAAGGGCTTTCTCTCAGCCTGTGGGTGTGGAACACACACAACCTTGCCACAAGTGTTTCCTGACCACTGTCCTTTCCAAACTACACATGTGCCAGGCAATAAAAAACCCAAGCAAAATGAAAAGAGACTGAGTTAACCAATGGTTTTTTCAATGCTATTAATACCAACGTCCTTTCCCTTGTCTCTCTTACATTTAATTTTGAAATCTTGTTCAAAGCCAGCAAGCAACTGCAGCCCCCCAAACACATAAAAAACCAATAGCAGCCACTACTGTTGCTGTCCTATTCAAATAATTCCCCACATGCAGTAACACTGAACCTTGACAAAGGGGTACACAACTTTTCAAATGAAGTTAGCATCCCTCCAAGAAGGGGGGCATAGATGTACGGCGTGTAACAATACACTAAAAAATTTAGTGCTTTGTTGACTAATGCTTGAATCAACATGGTCAAAATTGCTCATCATTACCTGCGCAAGGACAAGCATTCACACAGGTGGAGATACACAATGCCTTCTAGCACCTGCAGAAAAATGTTTCAGGACAGCAAACTGCAATCACAACAAATTAATCACAGTATTCAAATTCCAGATTTTCCCAAGTTTTGGGGCATGGTCCACAGATCATGCATATTCTGGAAAAGATGATGTCATGCAAATGACAAATATGAGAACTGCAAAATTCTTGTTGGCATTCCAAAATACATGTTTGACTTAATGCCAAATAATCTTTTTAGCTATTCGTTATTTCCCTACTTACTTATGCTTATTACTAGTATCATTAGGAGACCAGCCACTGCCTTCCTCAGCTTCAGTTGAGTCAAAATTTGATCCTGGATTCTTAGGTTAGGAAACCAGAGATTCCAGGTAAATTTAATGGTCTGAAACTGAGCATAACACCAGCTATGCCAGAGAAGACTCTGAAGCCCTATGGACTCAGGAGCACTAACTGGCTGATGCAGAAAGGCTTCAGCTGGAGTAGGTAGCTACCACAGGGAAATACTTCCAGTCAGTGTTTTTCACAAATGAGACTCTGTAATGGTACTGTTATTATTGGCGGCTCAGACAGAAAATTGATTTCCTCAGTTACACACAAAGCAGTTGTTTTCAAAATCCTGAAGGTTCCTGTATTAAGATTTAATTAAGCCACACCCACATTAAGAAACCACAGAAGCAGCTAGACTCTGTGTGACTTCACCTATTCATAAACAGCTTTTCCTAATTATTGTAGGGCAACATATCATCTTTATTAATTCTCTTTAGTTTTGCCAGTGACTTACAGAACAAAGCTCTTCATAGGAAATCAATTCATACTCCCTCCTTATCAATCGAAGCATGATTCCCACAACACTATATGATTTTTCTGATTTATATTCAATGAATGCCTTTCATTGCAGTGTTTTGTAATAGTAGCTCCTATAGCTAAGATAGGAGAATTTCCTTGTTATTTGAAATCTATTTTTCTGTGTTTTACCGATTATCATGAACTTTAAGTGTTTTCTACTGCACACGCAAGCATTTTAAAATTTGTGTGCAACCCTTACAAGAACATTGAAATGCTTTACAAAAATGCTACTGCATCACAATAACCAAACTGAAGAACACATCTATCAAAAAAAAAAGAAATTGAGCAGAGAACATAAACTTATTTCACTGAAGATCCAAGAATGGCACTGAAAAAGGGTGTTGCCCATTCCAAAGATTTCAAAAAAGGAAGACAGCCCAGGGAGGAAGAGCTTAAGCAGGGGTAGAGCCTGAGGAAGCAAGTGTAATTAATACCAATTCAATCAGGAAGAGGTGGAGAACTTCTCCAGGAAAAAAGCAATCTCATACACTGTCTCTGTTGTACTCCAAAGGAGCCAATTCAACTCCTGCATTTCATAATGAAGTGGTTAGACATTGGCTGGGCTGTAGCACGTTTCCTGTGCTTTACTTCTGAGTCTAGCAAGCAGGATATAGCTCATAGATTAGGAACCACTGCTTCTAATCTGAATTTTTATTTTCTTTTCAAGATAAGTGGCTGGAACAACAGTAGACTATTATGTCAGTTTAAGTAAGCATATTAAAGAACTACTGTTATTAACAGAAGGACACTTTTCCAATATCACTGCTATGCTGATATTTTATTAAGGAAGCAGAAACGGCCAGCTGGGCAATAGTAATCCTGGCCACACTGAATATCCAGCTTTCTAAAGGAAAGAACAAAAGTAGTGACATAGGAAGAGTTGTGGCATGCACCTCATGGTTTCATGACAGATCATAACGAAAAGAGACAGTACAGTAATAACAACACCTTTACCTGTCAAGCCCACCACCAGCACCCATCAGTACAGGAATTATCAATGATCTCATCTTCTGAAGTAGAAATAAAAGCATTGTATAGTAATCCTTAAAATTCCCAGGGGGAAACAGGCAAAGAAGCAAAAGAATGTTTCTTCAGAAGATATAACACTACTGTGAAAACACTGGATCTCATTCTTGGATACAGTTCACAAACCTCCATTTCAGTCCTGCAAGGAATTGATGGATTACAATCTCCCGTACACCAGAGACAACCAAACGAAATTCTGCTGAGGCCATAAAAATTATACCACCTTAAGTAACCTCATTATCAGCATTCATAATCCCTAAAACCTCGTGGGGAGGAAGCCACATACAGTTACAACTGAGGTGCTAATTCAAGAACAATAATGCACTTGACTCGTTACAACCATTCCAGTTCATGGCAAGACACTTGAATCCGGATCATGAAGATCAGAGAACAACAGCTGTAACTCACAGAACAAAGACACACTAAGGGCTTCCTCATATCTCCCCGCCAGAAACCCTCGGTCCTAACCTGTCATATGCCCTGCCATAGGCACGACGGCCCTGTCTGTGTTAACACACAACTACTACATCGTTGTTTGGTTTCAACAGCCTTCTGGTTACAACTAACTCATTGAAAAGGAATGCTACACAGCTACATAAGCCCTGCCCATACGTACCACAGAACATATTTAGCAGCATCTACTTGTAAAACCCTATGTGTTATTCCAACTTTCTATATAGGTTTTGTCCTCAGTAGTACTATGTGGCTCTTTATGGTTGAGATTTAATCTTATTCTGGATGACTTCTTTTAACTTAATTATTTTACTTTAGCCATTTTTTAAGATCTGTGAAAGATTCCAGGCTGAAACAACACTCATTCACGTCTACATTATTTTCACAGGCGCACTTCAGAAAATACATTTCCTTTTAAACAGAGTTCTCAAATATTCAGTATCACTTTCTGCCCTTTAAATTTTCCAGTATGACCTTCAAAATATTGAAGACGAAAGGCAAATTTGCAGATGGAGTTGGCAGCTGTGCACCAGCTGAAACTGAGATACCCCAAAAAGTACAACAAGAGATACCCCCAAAAAATCATGACTTTGTACCTGGAATAGGGAGAGATTAAAAGGCAGTGCTAACTGTGAAAAGAAATATTGCTTATCATGACATAACCTCTGCAGGAGGAATTCCAAGGCACATTGCTGTTTCAAAAACCCTCAAGTGGTCTAAGCTACAGTAAGATATTAATGGGGAATGCTGGAAATGTATCACCCCAAAAGCACAGCTAATTTCAGATTAGGTACAGGAACTACAGAGATACTCACTTCATAAAGGAGAAGCCAAAAATATTTAAGTGATGCTTCACATCTATTTGCATAGCTAATGCATTACAGCTTTTAAATCAAGTTAAGCCTACTAATATCACATGAACCCATTCAAGAATCATCTGAACTCATGAAAAATTGCTGGTGCTTGAATCTGCTCTCTCTTGCGTCAGTAAAACTGACTTAGACTCACATGCCTAAAAATTAAATGAGATCATGCTAATTTGGTGCATTATTCTATACCTAGATACATCTTGCTGTAGTCTTGGACACTCACATTTTAGTTTTCAAAGGCTTCTACACAGGTGCAATTAAGAAAATACAACATTAAAAATTACCTACAAGGTCCCTTTGAAACAATCATTTTAACAAGGCAATGAAGATTAAAACTTTTATTCTTTCATTTGTGTGTATGTTTACATAACACTACAATAGATACTGGTTAACACACATTTCCTCTGAACTATATAGTACAGTATACCAGCTAATACACCGCTATATGTAAATCAACAGCGATTAAACTGCAAAGCAATTGATATACCAAATGAAGGGGTATTCTTGGGGATTTAAGTTCACTCACCAGCCTGCTAAATTCAAGCACTTCAGCACAGAAAGGTTAGTTTCTCTTGTTTCTCCTCGGACTGTAGTTACACTATCACATTTTGGATTTAGAGCCATGTTTGGCATGAAACAATTCCCACTCTATACTTCTTACCCTACTCCTGTCTCTTTACTGTCCTTAACTGTAGATTCCTGAGCAAACAACAGGATAAAAATGAGCTAGTTTTAACAACAATCCACTCAACAACCCAGTTTGCAGCAGGACTCTACAAACAAGTACATAGATAAAACAGGGGGAACTGCATACTGAGCATAGCAGTGGTAACAAACACCTGGCAGAAAAGCTTCATATGTCAAATGCTGCACGCCAGAAGCACAAGACCGTAGCGTGACAAACACCTGGAACCAGCATCAACCAGCCAAGTTAAAGGAGAAGCAGATCCACCTCTCCCATCAACAAGTACTCATTACTGCCTGTGCACCACCCCCTCCTTCACAGGTGCCTGAGCACTTGTGGAGCTGCAGACTCAACTGGACAAGTGGAGCTCAACCTACCCTGGGTAAAAAAATAACCCATCCAAAAAAAACCTCACAACATCCAGCTTTCTGAAACACACCCTTCCGGGAGCTCTGCCAAGGCGAGGAAGGGAGCAGCATGGGGGCAGGAGCGAGGCAGGAAGCATTACTTATTTCTGCAACCATGCCAGCCTGAAGTCCAGCCTTGGGATGAAGTTCCACAGCAGCGTGTCTGGATTTAAACAAGAATTACTACAGTCACAGGAACAGGCCTGTTTTCTTGCGTCAGCCCCATCACTCGGGCAATCACACAGCGAACCAGACCCAGGAGCTATCTGATCGCTTTGTCCCACAGCAAATTAGTTTTAAGCTGGATCACCTTCCTGAACTAGCTCACTGCGCAAGCACACAGGTTCCCGTACCTGCACAAGGGGCAAGACAGACACTCCAGGTGAAGCCAGGGGAGCAGAAAGTTTGGGACTGGGACAACCCTGGCAGCTCCGGTGCCGCAGAGTGGCAGGCTCTGTTGCAGCGCTGAACCGGATTTACTCCGATTGTTTGTGCCTTCAACTCTGTCCCGTCTTGACTGATGCTTTTAAATCCTTTCTAAATAAATGCTTTTTACTAATGATTATTAAATCCTGAAGTATTACAAATACATTAAAGGGCTAGCCAAAACACCCTTAACACACAACTTGTCACAAGTTCTAAGTTACATGGCATTAAGTTTTTAGTTTATCTAGCAATAAAAAGAGCAGATGAAAGACCTGCTTTCTCATTATGCCACAAATCTTTAATTTGAAACGTTTTGTTTCTGTTTTGACCTATTTAAAGAAAAATAAAGCCCAGAGTAGACAAACAGGACTCCAGGTGACTTTAGGAAGTCATTAACTTGCTTCTCAAAGGCCTGTACATCCCCCAGGACATTGGCTACCATCACTTGTTTCCCAGGGATGACAACATCAGTATAAGCAGGATCCAGACCTTATTATCCCTTAGTATTGTCTCCTTTGCTAACATCAGGCCAGACTAGTAGTCACTAACGCTCTGAACTACCATCCCGTTTTTTAGTGATATCATGTACTTCCTATGTGATTTGAGGCAGCTCGTTGAATCACTTTGTTTCTGTGTTGCCAGCATATATTCTCCAACCCTCACAGTCAGGATAATGTGAATTCATCCATGAATATACAGGAGATCCTCACGTTCTTCGGCTCCTCTGCTATCTGCACAACCAATGAGCAACACACAAGCTGCGATCTCCTACCCACGTTGAACAGTAGTTTGCAGCACCATTTATCCAGCTGAAACCTGCTTCAATTGTACTGCAAAGCACAAACAGAAGTATCGCGCAGGGAATCACAGACATTAAATTACTTAAGAATAAAGCGCCCTGTTACCAACCCACCACAATGAATCCACGATGCGTTAAACACTAAGAGATACCAAAGACCCAAAGCCACCACTGTGGCCCGGTGTGTGCACCCTGTGGCGACACTTGCTCGGATTCCACAGCCCAACCACGAAACACACCTCATACCTGCAGAGTTGACAGAAACGACCCAGCAACAGGCCCTGCGAGCCCCCGCTCCTTAACAGAGCCTAGAGCACCCAGAGGCGTTTGAACCCCGGGATTCAGCGCCTCCCAAGCACCCCAAGCTGCCGCCGCTCGGCCCGGCGAGGACTCACCTCGCTTGTTCTTGGTGCCGTGCTGCCGTGCTGCCGCCAGCT